CCCTTATTTTTATTCAGATATTTTGACATCACATGAAAATAGCTACTGTTTCATAAACTTGCTCCATAATTCTTTTTTTATTAATTAATTTATTTTTAGTTTCAACGTTCACTTCCACAAGATTTTGAGTTCCAAATTTTCTCCTCATCTCCTCCCTCCCCCCACCCCAAGATGGCATGCATTCTGAATACCCCTTCCCCTAATCTGCCCTCCCTTCTATCTCCCCGCCCCTTCTTTTATTCCCTTCCCTTCTGTTTTCCTGTAGGGCAGGATAGATTTCTATACCCCATTGCCTGTATATCTTATTTCCCAGTTGCATGTGAAAACAATTTTTTAGCATTTGTTTTTAAAACTTTGGTTTCCAAATTTTCTCCCTTCCTCCCTTCCCACCCACCCTCATTGAGAAGGCAAGCAACTCAATATAGGTTATAATGTGTAGTAATGCAAAACACTTCCATAGTAGTCATGTTGTGAAAAACTAAGTATATTTCCCTTAATCCTATACTGCCCCCCATTTATTCTATTCTCTCTTTTGACCCTGTCCCTCCTTAGAAATGTTTGCTTTTGATTACCATCCCCCAATCTGCCCTCCCCTCTATCATCTCCCTGCTCTCTTATCTTCTTCCTCCCTATTTTCCTGTAGGGTAAGATAGAGTTCTATACCCAATTGAGTGTGTATGTTATTCCCTCCTTAAGCCAAATCCTATGAGAATAAAATCCATTCATTCCCTCTCACCTTCCCCCACTTCCCCCACTTCCCCTTTACTGTAAAAGCCTTTTCTTGTCTGTGATTCAGTCCTCTGAAGCCTGCTTCAGGTTTGCTGAGGCCTGATTTGCCTATGCATCCATGCTGAACTGCGTTCCTCTCCCAGCCCAGCGCAATAGACCTTTTCAATCAACCATCCAGGTTGTCTTGGGCTGGAAATTTGTTTCAATCTGTCTTTTTGTGGGTTCTGCTGCTTTAGAATTTGTTTACAGCCATTTTTACAGGTATTTGGAGGGGTTTGGGGGAGGGCTCAAGCAAGTCACTGCTTTTACCCTGCCATGTTGGCTCCAGCTCCAGCCCCACCACCACCACCACCACCACCACCACCACCACCAATTCTGATTTTTAAGGAGTTGTTTTCTTCAGTGTACTTTTTTTTACCATTTGGTCAATTGTATTTTTTAAGGATTTGTTTTCTAGTTAATTTTTGTCCTTCTTTTTCCAAACTAATGACTCTCTTTGCATACCTTTCATTTATTTTTTCAATTTTTCTTCTACCTGTCTTATTTGACTTTTAAAATCCTTCTTGAGCTCTTCTAAGAAGGCTTTTTGGGCTTCAGACCAGTTCATATTCCCTTTTGAGGTTTCACATGTGGATTTGTTGACAATGTTTTCCTCTTCTGAATTTCTGCTTTGACCATCCCTGTCCCATAATAAGAATCTACATTGTTCGTTTCTTTTTGCTCATGGCATTTGCTTATTTCCTGATCTTTAAAAAAAATGAGCTCTCCTGTGTGGAACAGGGGGCACTGACCCAAGCTTCTTGTTCTGTGAGCCTGGGGGCTGGTCACTGGCTTTGTGTGCTAGGGCCTCATGTGCTAGCAGTTGGAGGCTATAGAGTTCTGGCAGCTTACCTGGTGCTGGGCTGGAATAAGCGACACTGGAGCTCTAGGGGTAGGATTGGGTTGTCTGGACCCTGTAGTTGCCTGCTCACTTGGGCCTTTCACTCTTTTCTTTGGCTCCTTGCAGATGGATGTTTCACTGCTGCAGGATGTTTCTCCACCTGGAGCTTTCCCTCTTGGAGTTGTGCTTCCCAGAGTTTTGCTAAGGCACCAGGAAACTTGGCTGCCGGAGAACGCCGCTGGGGTGTGGTCATTTTCTGAGCTGGTTTCCACTGGTTCCCTTGTCCATACTGAGGCACTCGGAGGTCCTGGTGTTGGTTCTTGCCTGCTCTACTACCTGGGGTTCAGGATCTCCCACTGTTATACTGAAGTGGGGCTTTCTGCTAGCTTGCTGGGATGTCTCTCGTTTTGTACTGTTCCCCTCCCCCAGAGCAAGAGGGGCCTTTCCCGTTAATCCTCCAAGCTTCCTGGGCTATAGGACTGCTGCACCCCATCTTTCTGCTGGTTCAGCTGCTCCAGAGTTTTTCCTGGGGTGATATTTTCTGGGCTTTCAGGGGTCAATAAGGGAGTGTGAGAATGACTTCTTACTCTGCCACCTTGGCTCCTGGAAGCAGAACTCCCTAGTCTAAGATTCTGAGTCCTGGCTGGGCCTTCTTCCTGGAAGCTCTTTCCACCCTTCGATTTTTCATTGCCGCTTTCTTCTGGTTCTCCTTCCTGTCTGACCACTCTTTCTGAAGTCACATCTCATTATGCCCTTCAGTCAGTGGTGAATGTCCTTCAGGGTTCTGTCCTTGGTCTTCTTTCTTTGTATTTTCCCATGGCAATATCATGCATTTTCATGCTTTCACTATCCCCTCTATACAGATGCAACTCCCCTCCAAATTCCATCTCTAGCTTCAATTTCTCCCTTGATCTCCAGTTTCCCCCCTCCAACTATCTCCTACATATTTCTGCCTGGATATCCTATCAGCCCTGGAAACTCGACAAATCCTAAACTAAATTGAACATGGTTAGTTTTTTTTTCTCCTAGATGTCTTACTGGTACCTCAGATTACATCTATCTGATAATGAAATCATCATCTCACTCTCTTTCACAAGGCTTTCTCACAACTTCTCTCTTTCTGCTGATGATACCACCATCTTCCAAGTCATCCACTCTCCAAAGCTCAGAATTATCTTTTAATCTTCCCTCTCCCAAATCCCACACATCCAATCAGTTGCTGATTCCTGTCAATTCCACTTACACAATTTGCCAACACCTCTCTGGCCCCACTGCCACCATCCTAGGAATGGAACTCATGACCTTTCACCTAGAGTTTTACAATAATCTCCTACAGAAGTTCTCTGCCTCTACCCTCTACTCTAAACAATGCTTCACTTGGGTACCAAAATACTCTTCAGAATATGAAGATGTGGCCATATCATTTCACTGCCTGAAAAACCTCCAATAGGCTCCCTATTGCCCACAGGGAAAAGTACACATTCCTAATTTGTGTATTTAAAGCTCTCTACACTCTGGAGTTAACATATCTTTTCATCCTTATTTCATAGTATTCCCTTCATCCATTCTCCTTTATGTGTTGTTTTTCCCATTAGAATGTAAGCTCCTTGAGGACAGGCTCTGTCTAACTTTTGTATTTGTATTCCCAGTGTTTAATAAAGTGACTAGCACATTGTAAGTGCTTAACAAATGCTTTTTCATTTTCTTCCTTTCTTCTTTCCTTCCTTCCTTCCTTCCTTTCTTCATTCCTTCTTTTTTTCCTTCCTTCCTTTCCTTCTTTCTCTTTCCTTCTTTCTTTCCTTGCTTCCTTACTTTTTTGCTTCCTTCCTTTCTTCCCATCTCTTTTTTAAAATTTAATTTTGTTTTATTTTCATATTTTCTCTCTTCCATCTCCTCTCTACCACTGACATCCGTTCTCCTCTATTTTTTTCCGTCAAACTGAACTACTAGCTCTTCTCTCATCTTGTTCTACCAGCCTCAAAAACTGGGTGGAATGCCCTCCCTCATCTCTGCTTGTTGAAATCCTTCCCTTCCTTCAAAGACCAGGTGTCCTGTCTCCCATGGAGTTTTTCTTGATTCATAAAGCTGAAAGTGAACTCTCCCTCCTGAAATTTTCCTAGAGCATTTTTGTTTACATCTCTCCTTTACCCTTAAACTTTCTCCCTTAGAGCATCCTTATGGCTTCAGATATCCAGAGCTGGAAGGGACCCTTAGAAGCCATCTAGTCCAACCCTTTTACTTTACAAAGGAGGAAACTGAGGCACAGAAAGTTTGAACAACTTGCCCATTGAACCGTAAGCTCTTTATGTTATTTAAGAGGGCAGCTCTTATGTTATTTTTCATCCTTGTTTCTCTATTGCTGTATATAGAGCCTGGCATATTTAAAACATTGAAGAGATGGTACTGATGATCTGTGATACTTGTTGTATACCTATAGCTTCAGTTTATGGCTGTGATCAAAATTATCTCTTAAATGAGTTCAAATAATCCCTCCACTTATCAATAAAGGAGGCTTCTGGTCTTTTGCTTACAAGGGCAGCAATGTTCTCCAGGCAATGGGGGCAATCAGACAGGCCACCAACACCACCAAGGCCTGGTTCAATGAGAGATGGCGATCTAGATGGCACCAGACAAGTTCATCACCAGTTCCAACACCTTTATACCCAGAGATAATACTTTTTCTCTCAGTCAGCTACATACTTTTCTGAAGTTTTATTAATATGAAGCATTAATGATCAAAGACAAGGGTGGATCAAAGGGAATTATGTGCTATCCATCCAGCAAAGGGGAAGTGAAAGGCCTTAGGTCTCTGGCCTGAGAGCAGACAGGGACTAGGGGAGGGAAGAATGATTCCTAGAAGGAGGGAGACATGGAGAGCCATACATCTGATGGCTTCTTTGGGAGGGGAGAACTGAGAGGAAAACGGAGGACCTCAGGAACAGGAAAGTTCTCTCTGTCTTTCCAACAGCCTGCCTTGGTTTGTGTTACATCCATCATCTATGGCCAAAGACCACATTTCAGATCATGGCGCCTGCTCGACAAATAACAAATAAATAAATAAATAAATAAATAAATAAATAAATAAATAAAATAAATAAATGAATAAATAAATGATGAATGAATGAATGAATAAATAAATAAATAAATGAATGAATAAATAAATGGATGAATAAATGAATGAATGAATGAACAAATAAATAAATAAATGAATGAATGAACAAATGAATAAATGAATGAATGAATGAATGAATGAATGAATGAATGAATGAATGAATAAGTGAATGAATGAATGAATGAATGAATGAATGAATGAATAAATAAGTAAATAAAAACAATGACCACAACCAACAACAGCAACTCAAGTTTATAGCTGGCTTTAAGGTTTGCCAGGTGCTTTCCATACTGTAACTGGCTCATCCTCTTGCAACCCAGCCGGGTCAGAGGTTTTGAATGTAAGGAAGGATGAGAAGTCTTTGGAGGGAGCCGTAAGAGTTGAGGAAATTCTGAAAGCAGATAATAGAAGGGGGGCTGAGCAGAGACATGAAGAAACCGGGTCATGGGGTTATCAGGACACACAAGGGGAGCAGCATCGAGACAAATGTGAGGCAGGAAGAGGCCAAAAATAAAGAGCCTTCTTGGTTTATGGTCCTGACGATCCATGTGGAGAATGAACTGACTTTGGTATAAATTCCAGGAATATCGGGTTTTCCACAGCCAATTCCCCAGCTCACTATCCCCACCTGCACCTAGGTGTCCTGTCCAACTTCACAGGCAAGGGGTCCCCCGGAATCCCCCTGGAGAAAGAGAGAGGAATTTAGAGTAGAAACTAGAATCTTGAGAATGGAGTATGAATAAGTGATGAGATTTTATTGATCCCTAGACACCTCAGGAAGGGTAGAAGAATAGCCACAGAAATGGTTCTGTAGGAGATGGGAATGAGAAACCACTTCTCTCACCACATATCAATTTGCCTAACTCCTGCATAAAAAAAAAAGATTGCTCCATGACTTTTGCCATAGCCCCTGAGACCATCCCAACCCCATCATGGCTCCCTGTCTCATCTTCCTCCAGTCTTTCTTCACCATCCTATTCTCTGTCTGGCCACAGGTTCACGCCTGCCAGAGGCTTGATACCAGCAGCTGATTTCTGGACCTGGGCAGGCTGTTCTACAGGGACTCATACCACAGGCACTCAACAGGATAATCTGATGAAATCCCAAATCTTTCTAGCACAATGATTCTTTTTGCCAGATTATTCCAGGAAGTAAAGAGTCATAAACTTAGGGAGGGAGACCCAAAAGGGAAAGAGCCTATTTCCATTATGGCCTACACATTTGCTCAGATTTAGAATATTAACTGTGAAAGGAACCACAGAGACCATCTGGTGCAACCCTTTCATTTTACAGATAATGTAACTGAGGCCCCAAAGGAGGAAATGATTTGCCTGATGTCATACACCTTCTTAGCAGCAGAGCTAGGAATAAAGTTTAAGGGTCCTGTACCATGGCCCTCAGTTCCAAAGAAGGCTTTGGGGGGGGAGGGGGAGACAGTTTGTCTCACAACAACCCAATTCCACTTTAGTGGAATTAGTGTAATTCTAGCTTCTTAAGCTCCCCACCCCAACTCTTACCTCTGTGATCTTGCTTCCTCTGGCTGGCTCTGTCTATGTTTTTCAGAATCTTACCTCTTTGGACCCCATTTGTGTTTGGTTTCCTCTCCTCCACAGATTCTGACCTTGAGGTTTTTCAGCTCTCTCCTTTCCTTGTCCACTGTTTAGACCTAACTTATCAAAGACCATGTAGCAGTGACACTTCTCTGTGCCTGATCCTTCATCTTCAACCCAGCTCTTAACCTCTTTTGTGTCATGGACCCCTTTGGCAGACTGGTAAAGCCTAGTGGACCCTTTTTCAGAATAATTTTTTTTTTGGCAGTTGCAAGTTTTACCTTTTTTTTCTTTTTTAAAAAATATTTATTTTTAGTTTTCAACATTTACTTCCACAAGATTTTGAGTTCCAAATTTTCATCTCATCTCACCCCTTCCCCCACCCCAAGATGGCATGCATTCTGAATACCCCTTCCCCTAGTCTGCCCTCCCTTCTATCTCCCCCCCCCACCTTCCTTTATCCGCTTCCCCTTCAATTTTCCTGTAGGGCAGGATAGATTTCCTGTATTTCTTATTTCCCAGTGGCATGTGAAAACATTTTTTTTAAACATGTCTTTTTAAAACTTTGGGTTCCAAATTTTCTCCGTTTCTCCCTCCCCACCCACCCTCACTGAAAAGGCAAGCAACTCAATATAGATTATATATGTGCAATTATGCAAAACACTTCCATAGTAGTCATGTTGTGAAAAACTCTATTTCACTTAATCCTATCCCACCCCCCCATTTATTCTATTCTTTCTTTTGACCCTGTCCCTCCTCCTAAGTGTTTGCTTCTGATTACCCCCTTTCCCAATCTGCCCTTCCCTCCATCATCCCTCTGCTCTCTTGTCCCCTTCCCCCCTATTTTCCTATAGGGTGAGACAGATCTACATACCCAATTGAGTATGTAGTATAATCCTCTCTCACCCCTTAATTTTATTCTCCAGATATGACCACTTCATCTTCAACTCGCCCTGTGCCATCTATCTATCTATCTATCTATCTATCTATCTATCTATCTATCTGGCTGGCTGGCTATCTATCTATCTATCTATCTAAATATCTATCTATATACATACATATAGTTTTTTCCCTCCAACTACCCTAATACTGACAAAGGTATCATGAGTTATAAATATCATCTTTCCATGCAGGAATGTAAACAGTTCAACCTTAATAAGTCTCTTATGATTTCTCTTTCCTGTTTACCTCTTCATATTCCACTTGAGTCTTGTATTTGAAAATTAAATTTTCTATTCAGCTCTGGTCTTTTCATCAAGAATGCTTGAAAGTCCTCTATTTCCAAAACAACTCTGAGGTACCACATCACACCTATCAGATTGGCCAGCATGACAAAACAGGAAAATGATAAATGTTGGAGATGATGTGGGAAAATTGGAATGCTAATACATTGTTGATGGAGTTGCAAAATGATACAACCATTTTGGAGAACAATTTGGAACTATGCCCAAGGGGCTACAAAAATGTGCATACCCTCTGACCCAGCAATAGCACTTCTAGGGCTATATCCCAAAGAGATCAAACAAATGGAAAAAGGACCCACATGTACAAAAATATTCATAGCAGCTCTTTTTGTGGTGGCAAAGAATTGGAAATTGAGAGGATGCCCATCAATTGGGGAATGGCTGAGCAAGTTGTGGTATATGAATGTAATGGAATACTATTGTGCTATAAGAAATGATGAACATGCTGACTTCAGAAAAACCTGGAAAGACTTCTATGGTCTGATGCTGAGTGAAGTGAGCAGAACCAAGAGGACTTTGCACACAATAGCAGCCACGTTATGCAATGACTAAGAATGTTAAACTGAACCCTTCTCAGCATTACGAGGATCTAAGACATCTCCAGAGGCCTCAGGATAGAAAATGCTGTCCACATCCAAAGAAAGAACTATAGAAGTCCAATCGTTATCACTTATTTTTACCTTCTGTTGAGTTTTGTTTCATCTTTCTGATGGTTCCTCCTATTGGTTTTAATTTTTACTTACAACTTCACTAATGTGAAAATATGTTTAATGGGTATGTAAAAAAAATTAAATTTGAACTGTCTATGGAAAAAAAAGAAAGAAAGAAAGAAAGAAAGAAAGAAAGAAAGAAAGAAAGAAAGAAAGAAAGAAAGAAAGAAAGAAAGTCCTCTATTTCACTGAATGACCATTTTTTCCCCTGAAGGATTATACTCAGTTTTGCTGGGTAGGAGATTCTTGGTTGTAATCCTATCTACTTTGCCCTCGGAATATTATATTCCATGCCCTGCAGTCCTTTAATGTAGAAGCTGCTAAATCTTGTGTTATCCTGATTGTGTTTCCATAGTACTTGAATTGTTTCTTTCTGGCTGCTTGTAATATTTTCTCCTTGACCTGGGAACTCTGGAATTTGCCTACAATATTCCTAGGAGTTTTCCTTGGGGGATCTCTTTCAGGAGGAGATTGGTGGATTCTTTCAATTTCTATTTTGCCCTCTGGTTCTAAAATATCAGGGCAGTTTTCCTTGATAATTTCTTAAAGATGATGTCTAGGCTCTTCTTTTGATCATGGCTTTCAGATAGTCCAATAATTTTTAATTTATCTCCCCTGGATCTATTTTCCAGGTCAGCTATTTTTCCAATGAGATATTTCACATCATTTTCTAATTTTTCATTCTTTTGGATTTGTTTTATAATGTATTGATTTCTCATAAAGTCACTAGCTTCTAATTGCTCTATTCTAATTTTTAATGAAATATTTTCTTCAGTAAGCTTTTGGACTTCCTTTTCTATTTGGTCCATTCTGCTTTTTAAGGCATTCTTCTCCTCATTGGCTTTTTGGACCTCTTTTGCCATTTGGGTTAGACTATTTTTTAAAATGTTATTTTCTTCAGTATTTTGGGGGGTCTCCTTTAGCAAGCTGTTGACTTGTTTTTCATGATTTTCTTGCATCACTCTCATTTCTCTTACCAGTTTTTCCTCTACTTGTCTTACTTGCTTCTCAAAATCCTTTTTGAGCTCTTCCAAGGCCTGGAACTGATTCATATTTTTCTTGGAGGCTTTGTATGTAGAAGCTTTGACTTTTTTGTCTTCTTCTTCTTGTATATTTTGATCTTCTTTGTTACCAAAAAAAAAAAAATTCTATGGTCTGACTCTTTTTGTGAGGCTTGCTCATGATCCCAACCAATTACTTGAGTTTTAAACTTTTTGTTAAGGTAAGAGTCTGCTTCCAATGTGGAGAATGTACTGTCCCAAGCTTCGGGGGTTTGTACAGCTGTTTTCAGAGATACCTGTAGGGACCTGTAAATTTTCAGTTCTTCCAAGGTGGTATGATAAGGGGCGAGGTGTTTACTCCTTTCCTGGCCTGTGCTCTGGTCTGTGAGTGACCACAGGCACTCTTTTCTGCCTTGGAACTATGAGGAGCATTTTCTCTGCACCACTACCACGATTTCTACCACACCAGCACTCCTCCTCTCCCCAGGACCGCCACTCAGAACTGTGACCCAGATCCATGCACAGGCAAAGCAAGAGATTCCTGCAGTCTCCCTCTGGTCAGCCACCTGATTCTCACCTCAGTCTGTGGGCCGGAACTCAGGACCCGCCACCACCCTGGGACCAAGCTCAGGGATTGGGGCTGGGACCTAGCTTCTCTCTCTCACTGCAGAAGCATACTTTTCCCACTGACCTTCTAAGTTATCTTTGGCATTCGTGGGTTGAGAAGTCTGGAAACTGCCACAGCTGCCTGTGATTCAGTCCTCTGAGGCCTGCTCCAGGTTTGCTGCAGCCTGTGTGCCCATGCCAAACTGTGCTCCTCTCACCACCTGGCACAATGTACCTTTCTGATCAACCATCCAGGTTGTCTTGGGCTGGAAATTTGTTTCACTCTGTCTTTTTATGGGTTCTGCTGCTTTAGAATTCATTTAGAGTCATTTTTTACAGGTATTTGGAGGGGTTTGGGGGAGAGCTCAAGCAAGTCACTGCCTTCACTCTGCCATCTTGGCTCCACCCCCCAGAACAATGTTTTTGAAAGCATAAAACAAAACATATTGGATTATGAAGGAAAGCAGTTACATTGACATCCATTTATCAACATATTAACAAAAAGAAATTCATGGATCCAATGTTAAGAACCAGTGTGTCAGCAAAGCTCCAGAAAGGCTATTATCCCAGACAGTCCTGATATTTGTTGCTAATATTCAGAACCCATGGTAACAGGTGGGGAGGGTGAAGGAGGATGGGAGGAACTAACCTGACAGGCATCTTTTCCTTCTGGATGATAGGCACAGAGCATCTTTTTGTCAACAATGGATACAAATGCTGAGATCAACAAGGACTTTCTCAACATTTTGTTGCAGTACGTTCTTTCAATAATGTATAGATCAATTTCCAGGAGCACAAGAGGATGTGAATCTTCTGTGGGCAGGGATGCTGGAGGTTAATAGGCTATAATACAGACAAAGGGTGAACTCTTCTCCTGAGTTCTCCGCAACCCTGGGAACCACTCACACCCTGCTTCTGCTTCAGCACATCAGCAAAAGCCAGAACTCACTACAAAGGCAAAGACTCCACCCAACAATGGTTCAGAATGCCAAGCCTTGGTCCCTTGGCTACAGAGTCCACTCACAATGTCTAGAAGGGAAAGAGGTATGAAAGCCATGCACATGAAGGGGAGAAAGGGCTACAGAAGGGGTAGCTGTGGGCACAGGTCAGGGACTCACTACTTAGAATAATAATTATAATCTCTTGCATTGATTCACGGCTTTCTTCTTTTCAGGACCTTCAAGAAGCCTTCCCTGCCCCCTCTAGCCCATAGTGAGTTTTCTCTCCTCTGAGTTCCTATAGTTCTGACTGTCTGCTCCTCATCTGCTATATACAAGGTCAGAACTACCCTGGGTCCTTGAGATTAGAATCTCAAAGTGGTAATGGACCTCGGAGGTCACTTAGTCCTATCTCCATCTAGATCAGGAATCCCTTTTACATTATTCATGATGATGGTCATCTATACTAGGCTTGAACTCTTTCAGTAATAAGAGGTTCACTGAAGGCAGCTTGTTCCATTAAGGAACCACTCACAATGTGAGCAAATTTCTCCTAATTTTCCTTGATCTAATCTGATCCTCAAAATACTTCACTAGGGATTCTTAAACGGGGGTCTGGGAACTTGAGTTTTTAATACAGTTATTCCTTCCACATGGCGGGGATTAGGGGCATGCCGCTTTCCCCACCTCATACCTCCCAGATTTGAAAAATCCACATAAAATTTTTTGGCCCTCCCTTTGTACCAGAGAAGAAGTCTGAATCTTTTTTTTCTTTAATGGGCTGTTTACAATGCCTTATTGTAAAGTTTAGGTTAAGTATTTGGTCACAGGCTGTGTGTTGTCTGCTGGCCTTTGCATGTCAACTCCCCCAAAATTCCTATTTAATTTCTTATGCAGACCCATGATCTATCTAAATCCCGACAGGGAAAGTTGAGATGTGGAAGGGATAACTGTATTTTGAAAGCTGCACCTCAATATAGTTGTCTTCCTCTGTATTACAATGTATTCAACCTGATGCATTTAAAACTGTCATGCTAAGGATTCCATGGGTTTTACCGGACTGCCCAAAGGGCCCCATGACACATAAAAGTTTAGAATTCCTGCACTAGTGAGCTATACAGGCACATGTCTGCCTATGGGCACCAAACTAACCATTCAGAGACCCTCAGCTCTAGCCATTCCCTATCTCCTCCCTCCCTCTCCCACCCCTCACCCCTGACCTCCAGGAAGGCTCTTATCATCAGGGAGAGGAAAGTTCACCAGCCGGAGGTCAGAGCTCCCACTGCCTCCAAGCTCAATCTTGTAGACTTAGCAGAAAAGGGCAGCTCTTGGCTCTCTATGGGGAAGGTCAACAACCACATTCCCCTGTCTCACCCTTCTTCTCTTTAGTCTGGCCCCATCCTGCCATCCAGCAGCGGGTCCTGTTCTTCAAGTGGAATTTGCTGGAAGGTAGGCAGATAGGTTGAATCTTCTGGGTGAGTGTCACAGGAGATTCCAAGTGTACAAGGGCAAGGTCATTCTTGACGAAAATGAATTCTGAGTAAGAGGGATGGATAAGGATGTCCTTGACAGTGGCGACGGTACTGTTCTCAGAAGTATAATAGGATGTATCTCCAAGCTTCACAGTGTAATTGTAATCCCTGTGAGAAAGAAAAAAAAATCATAAAACATGCACCTCCAGCAACATCCATGTTCTTGGGTAATTTCATATGAATATAGACATGGTATCCAAACTCTTCTCCCTGGGATTTCAGGCCTCCTCCAGTCCGGCCGTAGCTTCCTTTGACTCACACACACCAACCCTCAGCTCCAACCTTACTCATCTCTTGCTTGTTTCAGATACATGGCATTCTCTTCCCTTTCATTTGGGCCTTTGGTCACACTACCCTATCCCTTTCTCCCCAACCCACCTACCTCTGGGTCCAGTGATACCCTTTCTTCTTTCTGTTTCCTCCTCTTAAGCCCTGTGAAACCCAAAATCTCCAAAAAGCCTTCTCTGACCCCTCCAGTCCACAAGTAGTCTCTCCTCTGAATTCCTATCTGTGCTATTCTTCTGCCACACGCATCGTCATATCTACACTGTCTTATCTTTTATTTTATTTTATTTTGATAATTTATTTATTTTTAGTTCTCAACATTCACTTCCACAAGATTTTGAGTTTTAATTTTTCTCCCCCTCCCACTCCTCTCACCACCCAAGACAGCATGCAATCTGATATAGGTTTTACTTATACATTCATATTAAGCATATTTTCCCATTGGTCATGATGTAAAGAACAATTAGAACTAATGGGAGAAACCATGAGTATGAAGCAATAAAGCAAAACCACAAAAAAAAAGGAGAGCCAATAGAATGCTTCCATCTGCATTCAGACTGCACAGTTCTTTCTCTGGATGTGGATAGCAATTTCCATCGTCAGTCTTTTGGAGTTGTCTTAGATTCTTTTTTTTTTTTTGGCAAGGCAATGGGGTGAAGTGACTTGCCCAGGGTCACACAGCTAGTAAGTGTCAAGTGTCTGAAACCAGATTTGAACTCTTAGATTCTTGCATTGCTGTGAAGAGCCAAGTTTATCAACGTCAGTCATGGCACAACGTGACTGTTACTGTGAACAACGTTCTCTTGGTTCTGCTCATTTCCCTCTGCATCAGTTCATGTAAGTGTTTCCAGGTTTTTCTGTAGTCTGCCTGCTCATTATTTCTTACAGCACAACAGTACTCCATCACATTCATATACCACAGCTTGTTCAGCCATTCCTCAATTGATGAGCATCCCCTCAATTTCTAATTCTTTGCCGGCACAAACAGAGCTGCTATAAATATTTTTGTAATGTGGGTCCTTTTCCCATTTTTATAAATCTCCTTGGGATACAGACCTGGAAGTGGTATTGCTGGTCAAAGGGTATGCCTTTAGGCATAGTTCCAAATTGCTCTCCAGAATGGTTGGATCAGTTCCACCAACAATGCATTAGTGTTCCAATTTTCCCACATCTCCAACATTTATCATTATCTTGTTTTGTCATGTTAGCCAATCTGATAAGTGTGATGTGGTACTTCAGAGTACACTAGGTCATCTTTTCAACAGCCTAACCAGCTAAACGAGAAACCATGCTCAAAAGGCTTTAATACTTTCCCATCTGGAACTTCCACTCTGGGGTCCCTTCCCCTGATTGGCTGCTGCCATTGCTCTAGGCAAAGTCTATAACTTTCCAGACTAGACTGCCTCCTCCTTGTCACCACTCTGTTAAGTGGGGGGGGGGGTCTCTCTGTGGAAGAATGTAAATTCTCTGTCAGCAGGAGCAGCTTTGTTTTGTATTTCTGTCTCTAGCACCTAGTATAGTGCTTAGCGCCATAGCTAATGCTTGTGGAATGCTTTTTCATTCATTCTTTACATTTATTATACACTGTTTTTAAAAGCAGGCTGTATGAAATAGAGATTCGTGGCTTTACATGTAACCTTTTGTGTGTGTTCTGAGTCCTCAACAAGACTTTAAGCTCTGAGAACAGGGATTCCCCAAGGTACCTAGTACAATCAACCGATTAAGAAACATTTGTTAAATGCCTGTTATGTGGCTAGCACCTTGCTAAGCACTCAAGACAAAAAGAAGCAAAAAACAGTCCCTGCCCTCAAGGCACTTACAATCTAATGGGAAGATAACTTGCAAACAAATATATACAAAGCAAGCTATATAGTGGCTAAATAGGAAATAATTAATAGAGGGGAGACATCAGGATTAAGAGGGGTTGAGGAAGGCTTCATGTAGAAGGTGGGCTTTTAGTTGAGACTTAAAGCCAAGGAAGTCATTAGTCAGAGAAGAGAAGGAAGAGCATTCCAGGCATAGGGTACAGGAGCCAAGAGTTGGAGGGTCTTGTTTGTGAAACTGCCAGGAGGCCAGTATCACTGGAGAGAAGCATGTATTTCAGAGAGTAAGGTATAAGAAGACTGGAAAGGTAAGAGAGGGCCAGGCTGCAGAGGGCTTCGAATGTTAAACAGAGGATTTTGTACAGTGGCCCTAAATATTGAATGCACTCAGCAAATGTTTTGCACAGGGACTGATATACTTAATAAATGCTTTTTGACTGATTGATTGATAGGGGCAAGAAGAGGAGAGGTGTTGTCCCAATTTAGGTACAATTTCCCTGGAGGAACGAAGAGTATTTTCATCTCTCTGGCTTTGGGGGGAATTCATGGTGATCAGTATCTGAGGTAGTTTTCCTCCCACATGTGTATGGTATGGCAAGGGGTAAACTCACCACAAGACGCAGTGTGCAGCTGTCAACACCCATTCGGTATCAATGAGGGATCCTCCACACATATGCTTGTGATAAACTTGCAGGCTCATCTGCCAGGGCCACCTTGCTGGTGGGGCAGCATGTCCACAAATGACTTTCCTAAATGGATGGTATTGGCCACAAGATATACCTGAGGGGAAGAAGACAGATAGGCATGGAAAGCAGGAGGGAAGGAGAAAGACACAAAGACAGAAAGACAGGCAGAGACATAGAGAAGAGAGAGAAACAGAACATAAGAGAAGAGAGAGAGAGAGAGAGAGAGAGAGAGAGAGAGAGAGAGAGAGAGATTAAAGTGGTACACTACTTCTCCCATTAAATGGGATGACAGGAGTTCATAGAGCCTTGGAGACGATCCTTAGAATTCATCTAATCCAATCCCCTCCTTTTCCAGAGAAGGAAGGCTTGCCTGAGATCCCATAGCTGGTAAACAAAGTGATGTGATTTGGCCCTTGGATTTCTGCCTCCAAATCCAGGGTCCTTTATACAACCACCAGTAATGACAGTGTTTCCATGGGATCTCTGACAATGGGAGCCTTTTTCCCTCCTTAAGTCTGTGGCTCCATGAACAGGAATATTGGGGAAGGGAGCATATCTCTGCTTTCTTCTACTTCCCGGCTCTCCATAAGCCAACCCATGGATTCATTGAGGCTCAAGTATCTCACAACTGTTTCTCCTCCCAAGGCCCCACACAAGGCTCAAGTCCCTGAAAATAACTGATGGACAGAAAGTGGGTCACTGTATCCCATAGATATCAAATGGGTGGGAGAGGGGAGAAAAAGTAACTTGGCCCAACGAATGAATAGCAGCAATGAATATCCTGCATTTTCTTGGACTGTAGGTCTGTGTCCCTGTCTTCCTAATCAATCTCCCTTCCTCCCCCCTTTCTCTTCTTCCATCCAGCTGAGTTTCCCATCTGTTCCGGCCACCCTGAGGATAATGCCCCCCCCCGACCTCACCCCAGGTTCACCCCCCTCCCATCTCTCCCAAATCCAGCTCTATTTTGCCCCATGACACCTGTCCCCAATAACGTACCTCATCTCCCCTAAACCCTCACGGTCTCAAATAAGACAATATTTGTAAAGCTCTTAGCACGTAATAGGGGCTTAATAAATGTGCATTCCTTTTCCCTCCCCCTAGATCCCAGCAGACCCCTCTGAATATGGAAGGGGGGGACCCTCACCAGGTTCACTGTATGGCGTGAATAGCAGCAGCAGCAGCAAGAAGGACAGCAGAAGCCCTAGGGGGGCTGTAAGATGCAGACCCCCAACCCTGAGCAGCCCCATTGATAGCCCTGCCCCCTTAGGACAGGGGAGACCATAGGGAGGGTGGGGAGGGCTCCCAGAAGTCCCAGTAACCATAACTCGCTCGACTGCCCCCAGTGTCCCTTTCCCAAGGCTCTTCTTAGCACTGGGGACCCCAGAAGCTTCCTGCACACTCCCTCTCTACAGAGCCCCCTGGTAATCAGAATCCCTAGTGCTAGAGGACCCTGCACAGAGCCCCCTAGTGCTGAGGACTTCACAGTCCCCTCTCTGCAGCGCCCCCTAGTGCTGGGGACCTCTAAGGACCAAAAGAGCATCTTTGGGGAAAGCAGGCATCATTTCAGAATCTCACAGGTGGAAGAACCTGAGAGGTCTTCTAACCCACTATTCAACTCCCAGGGGGCAAGTCACCCTGCCCCTGCAAATCTCATTCTCCTACAGTGACCTCCAATCTGCCATTGGGCAACTTAAATCATCATCCAATTGAATTTATTTTTATGAAGTTGTTATTAAAAGGTCTTTCTTGTGGTATATGATTATGATGGAATACTTTTGTGCTATAAGAAATGACAAACAGGACGATTTCAGAAAAGCCTGGGAAAATTTATATGAACTGATACAAAGTGAAAGTGAGCAGAACCAGGAGAACATTGTACATAGTTACAGCAATTTTGTTAAGGATGATCAGCTGTGAAAGACTTAGCTACTCTGATCTGATCAAGACAATTATCTAAGACAGTTCTGAAGGATTTATGATGAAAAGTGCTATCCTACAGCCACAGGGAGAATTGATGAAATCTAAGTGCAAAATGAAGCATATTTTTTTCACTCTATTTTTTGTCCTTTTTTTTCCACAAACATGGCTAATAAGGAAATGTGTTTTACACGATTTTGCATGTATAATTGATGTCACATTTCCTGCCTTCTCAATGGGTAGGGGAGGGGCATGTGGCAAGGAAAGAATTTCAGACTCAAATTTTTTTAAAACATGAATGTTAAAAAATAAATAATTTCTTGGGTTTTTTAAAAGGTCTTTCTTGTATTGTGTCAACTATTATTCAGCACCTACTATGTGCCAGGTGATATAAAGAAGGGTAAAAGAAAAGTCTTTACTTTCAAGAAGCTCACAGTCTAATAATGGGGGAAACAACATGCAAACAATTATGTATAAGCAAACTATATTCAGGATAAACTCGAAATAATCAAGAGAGAGAAGGCACTAGAGTTAAGGCAATTAGGAAAGGCTTCCTGTAGAAAGTGAGATTTGTGCTGAAAATTGTTTTTCCTATTACTTCCCCTTGTTCATGGAATGTCTAATCTTTCTTTTACGTCTCTTCAGATACTTGAAGGCAGCTATCTTGGACCTCCTGTGTTTTCTTCTCCAGGCTAAACATCCTCAGTTCTTTAAACTGGTACTACAATTATACTGTTTCCATATCTTACACTATTCTGATCACTGTTCTGTGGACATCCACCAGTGTGCTAATATCTGTCTTAAACTGGTGGAACCCAATCCTAAACCCAGTTCTCCAGATGTGATCTGAGCAGAGGACAATGTGACTGTCATCTTTTCATTCTTTCTGAATGTCTTTGAATGCAGCCCAAAATCACATTAACTTTTTCAGTAATGAGTTCATACTATTAGTTCACCCTGAGTTTTTATTTGACTAATACCCCCCCCAAACACCTCCATGTTATTTTATGTTAAGTTTGCATTTCCCTGGCCTTGTACCTGTGTAACTGATATTTCTTACTATGAGTGTAATAAACTCACAAAATGAACATTTCTCTCTATAAAGTAAAACATAAAAATAAAATTTTGAGAAGCTGTAAATCTTTATTTTGGAAAAAAAAAACCCACCATACCTATAACAAGTAAGTACAGTGAAGCAAAACAATGAGTGGCAGCTTTGGCATAGCAGACTGAGGACTAGTCTTGAGGTCAAGAAGATCTAGGTTCATAGCATCCCTGTTTTCTCCTGGCTGTGTGACCTGGGGCAAATCATTTAACTTCTCAATGTTCCAGGCAACTTTCTAAGACTATAATTCATAGAGAAGGTAACAACCTGTCGCACAGAGGAAATTCCCTCACCTGGGAGTTTCCTATGCCAATGTCCATAGCCCTATCCTAAGGAAAATAAACACACATTTGCTATGTGCAAAAAATGTATGATATGCTTCATTCTGCACCTTGAATCCATTACCTTCCCACCAGAAGGTGTGTAAGCCTGCTTCACCATCCATCCTCTGGAATTATGATTGGTCATTGCATTGATCAGAGTTCTTGAGACCTACAAAATTGTTTTTCTCTACTATGTTACTGTTACTATATAAATTGTTTTCCTGGTTCAGCTCACTTCACACAAGTTGTCTCAGATATCACTGAAACTATTTCTTTTGTTACTTCTTATTGAGGAGTAATAGTCCATTACACTCATATATCATAACTTGGCCATCCCTTAATCGATGGACATCTTTTTTGTTTACAATTCTTTGCTGTTAAAAAAAAGGTGCTATAAATATTTTTGTAGAAATGAAACATTTTTCTTCTTTCTTTGATTTCTTTGGTGTATAAGCCTAGTAGTGGTACTGCTAAATCAAAGTTTCAATTGAGTGACTTTGTGGACATAGTTACAAATTACTTTCCACAATAGATGGATCAATTTACAGTTTCACCAAGAGAGCACCATCGTGTCTGTCTTCCTTCAGTCTAATTGACAGGGTTTTTTCTTCTTTTTTTATCATCTTTGACAATCTGATGAGTGTGGAAGTGGGAATTTCAGAGTTGTTTTAATTTGCACTTCTCTAATTATTAGTGACATGGAACATGTTTTTCATATGGCTGTTAAGAACTTGGATTTCTTCCTTTAAGAATTACCTGTTCATATCCTTTGATCATTTAACTACTATGGAATGGCTATCATTCTTCTATATTTGAATCCATTGCTTATATATTTTAGTATCAGAGAAATATGTTGCAAAGATTTTTCTCTAATTGTTTCTCTTCTCATTTCTTATTTTTTAAATTTGAATTTTATGGTTATTTTTAGTTTCACATTCTCTCCTTCCCTCCACTCTTTCCTCCATCCATTGAGAAGGCAAGAAATATGATACCCATTATACATACACAGTCATGCAAGACATTTCTGCATTGGTCATAAATTTTAAAAAAAATAAAAATAAAGGAAAAATATGCTTCAGTCAGCACTGAATCCATCAGTTCTCCATCTGGAGGTAGATAAAATTTTATATCATGAGTCAGTTACTAAGCCTTATGATATTGCTGTTACTGTGTAAATTGTTCTCTTGCTCACTTTACTTTGTTATTATTGTTTTTGTCCCATAATTTCAGTTGTGTCCAACTCTTTGTGATGCCATTTGGGGTTTTCTTGGCAGAGATACTGGAGTGACTTGCCATTTCCTTCTCCAGCTCATTTTTACAGATGAGGAAACTGAGGCAGTATTAAGTGACTTGCCTAGCATCACAAAGCTAGTGAGTGTCTGAGGCCAGATTTGAACTCAGAAAGATTAATATTCCTGATTCCTAGTCCATTGCTCTATCCACTGCTTCACCTAGTCACCATCACTTCCTTTTGCATCAGTTCGTGTAGTCTTTCCCAGGTTTTCTGAAACAATCCCCTTCATCATTTCTTATGGCATAATAGTATTTCATCACATTCATATACCACAACTCAGCCATTCCCCAGCTGGTGGGCATCCCCTTAGTTTCTAATTCTTTGCTACCACAAAAAGAGTTGCCATTAATATTTTTCTTTGATCTCCTTGGGGTATAAACCTAGTAGTGATATTTCTGGGTCAAAAGACATTCACTGTTTTGTAGCCCTTTCAGCATAGTTTTATACTGTTCTCCAAAATGGTTGGACTACTTAGCTCCACCAACAGTGCATTAGTGTACCTATTTTCTTATGTCCCATCCAGCATTTGTCATTTTCCTTTTCTGTCATTTTAGTTAAACTTATGGGTATGAGGTGATACTTCAGAGTTGTTTTAATTTGTACTTCTCTAATTATTAGTGATTTAGAGCATCTTCAATGTAGTTATTGGTAGCTTTGATTTCTTTCCCTGAAAACTTCCTGTTGGTATCCTGACCATTTATAAATTGGAGAATGGCTCCTATTTTTATAAATCTGGCTCAATTCTCTATATAGTTGAGAAATGAGAACTTTATCAGACAAACTTTCTGCATGATTTCCCCCAGTTTCCTTCTTTTCTTCAATTTTGGCTGTATTGGTTTTGTTTGTGCAAAAAAAAACCACTTTAATCTTATGAAATCAAAATTATCCATTTTACCTCCTGTGAGCCTCTCTATTTCTTGCTTGTTCATTATCCATAGATCTGACCGGTAATTTCTCCCAAGTTCACCTAATCGTCTTTTGACAATATCCTTTATGTCTAAGTCATTTACCCATTTGGGGCTTATCTTGGTGCATGGTGTGATATGTTGGTCTATGTCTAACTTTCCCTTCTCATTTCAACAGCATTGATTTTGTTTGTGCAAAACTTTTAAATTTCATGCTATCAAAATTGCCCATTTTCTTTTCTGTGATCCTCTCCATTCTTTCTTTGTTTATGAACTCACCCCCTATCCATAGTAGCAAAAGGTATTTTCTTCTTTGCTCTTCTAATGTGTTTATGGCCTCTTATATCTAGGTCATGTATCCAATTGGAGCTTATTATGGAATATAGTGTGAGCTGCTCTAGCTACTCTGAGAACATTTTACTTTTGGCTTAAGTCCAAGGGGTTTTCACTAGTAACGGGGCAGGGAGGAGGGAGGGGGAAGAAAAAAGACACCCAGAGTACAAACATGAATGAGGTATAGAAGAGATAGTTTTATTCCTACACAGAAGAGGAAATTCTAAGCAATGAAGAATCATAAGGTGACAGAATGAAATTCAATAACTTATCATCACTAGTACAATCAGTTCAGAAACTAATGTTTGGGGCTAGTTGGAACACTTGAAGTTTTTTTTAAATGAATGTTATTAATTAGCCATTTTCCCTCCCACCAATCTTTTTCTAAGATACCAGTTCCCTTTTGAGATCTGTTCCAAAGGAGGCATAAACAGGAGATGACCCCATCCTAGGTACAAGTTGGACCAAGAGTCCATGAATTCACAATTTGTGGCTGCTAAGTAGAAGTGTACCTTCCCCTTCACCATTCTTCCCCTCTCCGCCCCCATCCAACCCTCCAAATATCTCAGAATCCTTATAGTTCAAGGTGGGCAGGAAGAGAAGGCTTAAGGATTGGTGATCATGCCTTGAGTATATACATGGTATTCCAGCTCAGGAGCCAATCAAATGACTTCATTACCATACTGTACAAATTCTGAGCCATAACGGCTGGCAGGAAGCAATCTTGTAGGGAAATCTATGGAGCACTATATATATAAAATTTTGAAATTCATTGTTCTTTGCTTGTTTGATAGAATTCACTTTAGTTCCATCTTGTCTTGGGCTTTTCCTCCCCTTTTGGGACTACCTCTATGCCTTATTCAATTTCCTCTAATATTAGCTTATTTAAGTAATTTATTTCTTGTTCTGTTAATCTTGGTATTTTTTTATTTTTGTAAATATTAATCCATTTCATCTAAGTTATCAGTTTTGTTGATTTATAATTTGGTAAAATTTTTAATAATTTCCTTTTCTCTTATTCATTTGTTATGAATTCTCCTTTTTCATTTTTGATACTAACAATCTGGTTTTCTTTTCTCTCTTTTTCATCAGACTAGCTAATAGCTTATCTCTTTTATTGTGGTTTAAAAAAACAAGCAGCTTCTAATTCTATTAATCAATTCAATCAATAATTCAATATTAATATATTTTATATACAACTCAATATTCAATATTGAATTATGTTAAATAAATTATCAATAATAATTCAAATCAAACAACAATCAATTAATCAAAGAATTTTTTCTTTTAATTTAAATATTTTTTCTTTGAGTTTCATAATATATGTCTACTTTCATGTTTAGTCAGTTTTTTAAAAAAATTGTTGGTTTTCTAGAGTATTTTTAGTTGCGTGCCTAAGTCATTAATCTGCCCTTTTTCTTTTTGTTAATGAAATGTCTAGGAATATAAAATTTTCCCTCAGGAAATTGCTTTGAATGTATCCTAAAAGTTTTAGTCTATTGTCTCTTTGATGAAATTTTCTCTTGTTTCTATTACTGGTTTTTGACCAATTCTCTAGGACTAAATTATTTAGTTTCCAATTATTTAAATCCGTTTTTCAAAGCCCTTTATTGAATGTAATTTTTATTGTATCATAGTTGGCAAGATATGTGTTTAGCATTGATATTTTCCTGCATTTTTTGTTGAGGTTTTTATGCCCTAGTACATGGTCAGCTTTTGTTACAGTCCCATACATAGATGAGAAATATGTATAGCCCTTTCTATTCCCATTCAGTAGTTTCCAGAGATATAGAATATCTAAACTTTCTAAAATTCTATTCAGGTCCTTAACTTCTTTCTTTTATATTTTTGTTAGATTTGTTTGAAAAGAGTACATTGAGCTCTACAACTCTTACAGTTTCACTATCTTTTTTTCTTCTTATAAATTGATTGACTTTTCCTTTAAGTATTTAGATGCTTTGTCATTCACCATCTATGTTGCCTTTTAGCATAATGTAATTTCCCTATTTGTCTCTTTTAATAAAGCCTATTTTTATTCCTGACCCGTCTGAGATAATAATTGCTATACCTGCTTTTTTGAGTTCACCTGAAACAGAATAGATTTGCTCTAGCCACTTATTTTGACCTAATGGGATTCTGTTTCAAGTGTGTTTCCAGTAAACAACACATTGATTGTTAGATTCTGCTTTCTAATCCATTCTGCTACCCTTGTTCATTTTATGGGTGAGTTTATCCCATTTGTGTTCACAGTAATGATTATTAATTTTCTAGTTCCTTCCATAGAGTATCCTCTTCTACTTTTTCATCTCTTTGCACCCCACCATCATCTTTTCTTTACAACCAAAGAAGTTGGTGAGAAAAAAATGTGCTCAACACAAGTAACCCATATTTGATGTAATCTGCTTTTATTCCCCTGTTCCTCTCTTCCTCTCACCCAATTATTAACCTCAGGTTTTCTATCTATT